AATTTTACTAATGATGGGCCGAAAACATCAATTTATATATAAATGGGCCGAAGATGTCAATTTTTATGATAATGGGCCAAAAATGTTATTTTTAACCAAAGTGAACTAAAAATGTCATTTTATTTGAAATGAGCCCAAAAGGGTAAATTTATGGTCTTGAAGGACCTAAAGTGTCAATTTCATCAAAAATATGCCTAAATTATAAATTTTCAGCTTAATAGGCCAAAACTGTCATCATTACACAAAGTGGACTTTTTATGCCATTTTAGAAAACAATCAAGCTTAGACAAAGAATGTAATAACAAACGAACTAAATTCATCGATTACATGTTTATTGGGCCTTAGTGGTCCATTTACATGCTTATTGGGCATGGATTATACATTACATGTTTATTGGGCCTTAGTGGTCCATTTACATGCTTATTGGGCCTGGATTATACATTACATGTTTATTGGGCCTTAGTGGTCCATTTACATGCTTATTGGGCCTGGATTATACATTACATGTTTATTGGGTCTTAGTGGTCCATTTACATGCTTATTGGGCCTGGACTATACATCACATGTTTATTGGGCCTTATTGGTCCTTCTACATGCCTGTTGGGCCTCGTACATTTATGTACATACTCGTTGGACTTTTCAAACATAAAAGGTACACGGAAACATTATCTATAACATAATACAATATTCACGTAAACTCAGATAAGGATGCTAGTGAGACATGTCGGTTGACACCTTTAGAGTGTACAATCGTAGCCTGTAGTTATAACCAGAGTCTCCTGGAGGGAGAGCGAGATTTTTGTGTATAGATCTATACGGGGTGACACCCCACACCTGAGCTGTTCGCTACAGTTAGACTAGGCCAGTCTAGGGTGACAAACCTTACCTTAAACAAGTCGGCGCATGAAAGCGCCACGACAGGCGAATTTGTCATAATCAAGTATGGTTAAAACGGCTCACATAGAGATCATCTCCATCATAATTTTACGGAATACTTATAAAACCTTGTCGAGACGAAAACATGCATACACTGATTTTGGTCTCAGGGTTTGAGAACACGACACTTTTATAAACAGAAAATATAGGATTTTCTGGGGAAACATACAGTTAAACAATACCTTCTACTTACAACAGAAAAATTACCGAATTTCTCCGGATTACATTTTTATATACATTCCAAAAAAAACAGAAAACACACATGCATTTGTACTTGATTTGACACATCACTTTCAAACCATTTTTCAGAAAATATCGGATTTTCTGGCGTTTTACGAACAATACAAAATTTTTCATTCAAACATGCTTATGAACTCACCAACATTATATATGTTGACATTTTCAAAATAACTTGTATTCTCAAGGAATCGTTAAGTGGAACGGTCTACAAGAACATGTGGATTTGTCATATTTTGTTATCATCATACATTGAATATTTTGGCATGTAATTTATGATACTATACTTGATGTAAACAATGTTGGTTGTACTTTGATATGTATGATGATGGTGTTGTCTTGTTTCAATTATATGCATTGTGATGATACTACAAGATGAAGTCACGCACAATCCCCCGGATGTTTCCGCCGTGTGGTTCGGGGTGTGACATATGGTGATTAAATAATAAGAGTTTTATTTATATTCAATAGTTTTGAGACCATATTTAACTACGTTATTATTGTGTTTCACTTTGCATGTTTTACTTTCCGAATAATTGGATTATTCAAAACTCCACAGTCGATTGTACTTTTGGAAGTAAGTAGCAAATTAAGACTGTCATGAATTGAATTGTAGATTGTCTATGGGGATTAGACATAGCAATGGTTTTGCTGCAATGTTCATGAGTACTTGAAAATGGGGATTTTAAGTATTGGATAAACCCACGCTCATAGAATTACTTCATGGATTTTGTCACGAGTAATTTTGAGACGATAATATCTTATATTCTTGAAACGGAGATATATAAGTTGTTGTTTACAAGTCAGTCGTGCATTGATAATACGTAAACGCATCAGTAACTTGATGTTATAAAACGTATTGTTGTGTGTCATTTGATAAGTAAATAGTGAAAGCATATAAGTCGAAGTTAATTCGTTCCTTTTAACTTAACGGGAAAAGTGATATCTGTGGGCCCCTCAATGATTTGATGATGACGTCGAAAGCGCTTGGCCAAGCCTGGACTGAATTGATGTGTTCAATTAGTAGTCTGTTATCAGTCGTCATAAATCGGAAATCGGGAAACAAATATTGGATAAATAGAATGATTATAATCCATGTCTCATGTCTATACGATATCTTGTAGAACGGAGGAGTATTTGATCACTTATCTTAGGACACACAACTGACTCGGTCAGAGTTCGACAAAAGCTTTGAGAGCTACGATTCCTTGTCAATTTTTTGAATTCATACTTGCAACTATAGTTATTAGACTTATCTAAGAGGGAGACTGTTGGATTAGGTGTCTAAGACCATAACTATAATTGGTATGTACTTGAATTGATAGTGGCATGGTCCTGTTGGGTTGCCTTCACACTTGCAACTAGACATGATGATTAATTGAGGAAGAGGAAGAATTTATTAATTTGATTAATAAATTGGAATAAATGATTTATTAATATGTTATGGAAATAATATATTAATTTGTAATCATATTATTAATTAATATTTAATCAGCAATTAATTTGGAATTAATTTTGGGATTAAAGGAATTAATTGAAAGTGTAGGGACTAAAAGTGCAATTGTTCAATAGTTGAGCAAAAGACTCCAGAACCTTCCTTGGGAAGGTGGTGGATGAAAATTGATGTATATGTATAAGATTATTCTAGAGTTTCTAGAATATCTTATCATATATGAATAATCAAAGGAGGTGGATAATTACCATATTTGAGATAATGATATTTTATTCCAATTAGGGTTATCCATAGTGATGCGACATCGACCTCCGGCGGATCTTCTGGTCTTCTGCTGCGGCGGAGATCTGACATCACAGTGCAAACCCGTTAGAGCCGCCCCAGGGACTGTGCCCCGGGAGCGGGCTCCGACGGTCAAGTTAGATCAGCTAGAAGATCTGAGATGGTTCTCCATAGCTGGAGGGAACCATCTTGGTGCTAGTGGTGGTGTATGGCGGCGGGTGGCGGCTGAGCCACCCTGCCGGAGTATAGTGGCGGCTGAGCCATGGGGAAGGATCCTCCTCCATGGAGGAGGTACTGTTCATTATATAGGGGACAATTAGGTCAGGGCTTGGGCCAGCCCAATTCAGGCCCAACTAGCAAGGAGCTGGGCAAGGCCGCCCGGAGCAGTCGGGCGGGGCTGGCGGGCGCGCCCCAGGCAGGGCTGGCGGGCGCGCACCAGGAGAGGATGGCAAGGGAGTACCAGGCGAGGGAGCGCCTGGCCGAGCCGGCAGGAGAGTTCCCAGCAGGGCTGGCAAGGGAGTGCCAGGCGAGGGAGCGCCTGGCCGAGCCGGCAGGAGAGTCCCCAGCAGGGCTGGCAAGGGAGTCTCTAGCAAGGCTCGCAAGGGAACGCCAGGCAGGGCTGGCAGGAGCGCACCAGGCCAGGCTGGCGCGCTAGAGCAGTCTAGGCCATGCCAATGGACCATATATCATCAAGTCCCCCCAGTCTGGTGTTATTGGTACGCGGCCAATGACATCGGACTGGAACTAGTCATATAAACTGTGCGTCGTCAAGTCCCCCTAGTCTGATGCGATTGGGTTGCTGACAATCGGATCGGACTAGATAAAGTACCAAAGCATTTAAATAATAGAGAAAATGACCGAACCTCGCCCACGAGAGCCGTGGGGCTATGCGATGAGCCAAGTACTGCTTGAGTTGACTTGATACTCCTTCGTTGAGAGGAGTGTGAGCCGGTCGGTGAGATGCAACGTAACTATTGTTGCGATCATGCGGTTCGAGGCTGCTAAAGAGTGTTACACGACACTGATGTCGATGGAATGTCGGGGCGGGGTAGCTAAGAAGCGTAAGCTTGCCATTCAGTCCCTGAGACTGTTATCCGACGTGATTGTTGTGGTAGCCATGCGAGATGGGATGTCACCGATATCTTTCTACATCGTCCGCATTAATAACCACCTTGAAGGTATTTCTTGCTTGGGCTACACCTAGCTGGATTCCCCCCCAGTCTGATGTGGGTAGCGTAGGTAGCCGCATCAGACTATGTTGTCAAACCAGTAAACCGTAAGGTTGTTGACCATAATATAACTGGTAGATATTCCGAGAGCTGTGCGATTAGGTTGCTAGCGGGGGTCACGCAGTGGGACTATTGCCGATAGCCAGACAATAGAATTGTTGAGGGATAGGCAGTGAGGATATAGGTTGGGGTTGCATAGCAAGACCGTTTCCGAGAGCCAGGAAACAGAGGTGTTGTGGGGTACGCGACGAGGCTACAGGTAGGGTTGCACAGCGAGACCATTTTCGAGAGCCAGGAAACAGAGATGCCGTGGGGTATGCGGCGAGACTACAGGTAGGGTTACGCGGCAGGACTGTTTCCGAGAGCCAGGAAACAGAGATGTCGTGGGGTAAGCGGCGAGGCTACAGGTAGGGTTACGCAGCAGGACTATTTTCGAGAGCCAGGAAACAGAGATGTCGTGGGGTAAGCGGCGAGGCTACAGGTAGGGTTACGCAGCAGGACTGTTTCTGAGAGCCAGGAAACATAGGTGTTGTGGGGTCGTAGGTAGCAGGGCCGCTGTCGGGATGACCTTCTTGCTGGAGAGTATCCTCTCTATAGCAGGTTGTAATGTGGATAACACTTCATCGATCGTCCGAGCACAAGAGAATCATGATGACTGTGAGAGAGGAAGCACCAAGATCATGGTGTGGAAGAAGCTTGTGATGCACGACTTATGATGCGCGACCTAGGAGAATAGCTTGGGCTTAGCATCCAATGATCATGGAGGTGTTACGCGGGAGAGCATCGTGCGGAATGGATCGGGCTTGGCTGCTAGTGATCGTAGATAGATCATGTGAGAGAGCATCGCGTGGAATGGTCGGGGCATGTTGCTATACTGGAGTCGGGCTGAGAAGCCAGGCGACTCGAGGCAAAGGTACTGAACCTCGCATGCAGAGCTTGCCGCTATAATGGAGTCGGGCTGAGAAGCCAGGCGACTCGAGGCGAGGGTACTGAACCTCGCATGCGGAGCTTACCGCTATAACGGAGCCAGGCTGGGAAGCCAAACGAGTCAAGGCGAGGGTGTTGAACCTCGCATGCGGAGCTTGCCGCTATAATGGAGTCGGGCTGGGAAGCCAGACGAGTCAAGGTGAGGGTGCTGAACCTCGCATGCGGAGCTTGCCGCTATAATGGAGTCGGGCTGGGAAGCCAGACGACTCGAGGCGAGGGTACTGAACCTCGCATGCGGAGCTTGCCGCTATAATGGAGTCGGGCTGAGAAGCCAGATGACTCGAGGCGAGGATACTGAACCTCGCATGCGGAGCTTGCCGCTATAACGGAGTCGGGCTGAGAAGCCAGACGACTCGAAGCGAGGGTACTGAACCTCGCATGCGGAGCTTGCCGCTATAATGGAGTCGGGCTGAGAAGCCAGACGACTCGAGGCGAGGATATTGAACCTCGCATGCGGATCTTGCCGCTATAACGGAGTCGGGCTGAGAAGCCAGACGACTCGAGGCGAGGGTACTGAACCTCGCATGATTGGGCGTAGCGCCCTACAATCTATGTATCTAGCTCGTGTGATCAGTCTGAGTTAAAGCGGAATGGTACCTGATGCTTTGCTGCATCGCTAGTCATACTAATAAATGATGTCTCGGTTCCTTGACTGTTTGCGGAGAGCTACGTGGCGGTGCTACTTAGAGCTTGATAGTGTAGCTGCTATTAGGAGGTGCATAGCGAAACTGCTGTCAGGAACTGGTCAGCAGGGCCGCTGAGGCCCGGGGAGCGAGCTGCTAGCGATAGGTGAGCAGCGCGACCACCGAAAGCTGGGCAACGAGACTACCGAGGGTTGAACCATGAGGCTGCTCTTTCGTTCTAGAATATTAATGTCACCCCGAGTGCACTGTATGCATAGCATTATCTCTTCATGTACTTTAACTCTGTTCCTTCATAATAAAAATAACTTCTGCATAGTGTCATGCAAACCCCCCCCCCCCCCACCCCCACCCCCCCCCCCTCCATTTTTCTTAGAGGAGGCGAAGAAAGGGAAAGATGGATGTATAGCCGCTGAAAGCTGAGATACATAGCTGCTGGAAAGAGCTAGGCGATCCAAGTACTAACCAAAACTGGGTAGCACAGCTGGCGAGAGCTAAGCAGCGCGACTGCTGGGAGCCAGACAAAGTAGCTGCTGATGATTGGGCTTTGTGGCTGCTGAGCTAGGTCGTGTCGCTACTGAAGGTCGAGCTGCGCGACTACTAAGAGCTGGGAAGTAAGACTAGCGGGGGCCGGTTAACATGAATGGTGAAAGCTGATTAGCAAGACTTCCCAGGATTGGTCAACACGACTGCTGATAGCCGCACAACGCAGTTGTTGATTGCTATTTCGAAATGATTCACTAGTAGTAGTAGCGTACTACTCTTCTCCCTCCTTTTTTCCTTGAAAACATTGAGATGGCCAGATCTCATCTTATAGAATCAGATTTAGCTTGACTGGATTGGAGCACATGGCGTTGAGTTGTTGATTTTTCTCTTGCTAGAATGGGCCCAATAAGATGAAAATTTGATGTAGGGAAGCCCACATTGTTAAAATAAATTCAAGAGCCCATTTGGAAATTACTAGCCCAATTACTTTTTCATTCTTTTTTTTTTTTAAACATGTTGGGTAGTCCAAGTTGTCGTGCATTTTCTAGAATCAGGTTTATTGGACGAGATCGCAACACTTGGGCATTGGCAAATAGGTTACTTTACTTATGCAGGAAAAATTGGGCCATTTGCTGCTTGCTGAGACAGCCTAATTAAAATGTCAATAAATTACTCAACCCATTTGTAGCTTATGAGTCCAAAATGAGAAACAGTAGCCAATTATAATTTGTGAGAAGCCCAAATTGATTGTTATAGCAGCCTCTTAGGGTTTTGGAGCTGTAGGCCCAAATTCTATTTTGTGTCTCAACGTCCGTTTGAACATTCCATGGTGTCAAGTGTGTTTGACTTTTTTTCTTTTTTTCTTTTTTACAGCCGCCCCCATCCCATTCTCAATACCCTTCCTAAGGTCGTTCAGGCGAAGAAAAAAGGACCGACGACTAACGATCTATGTCGCCTGTGGAGGAAGATCGGAGCATCGAGTTCTGATGGCGACGCGGGGTCGGCTGGAGGTGCTTGGCTCTGGAGGTGGTCGTCTGGTCCTGGGATCGACCGGAGACGTTCTACTTCTTCATTTTCACTTTTCCTTTTCGCGTGTGGAACGAATTTAAGCACCAATCCTTTTCCTCCTCATTCTCTTCTTGCTGAGTCGCCGACACTGAAAACGATGAGGGCGAGAGGGTTGTTCATCGATGGATTCCGGTGGTATGGTAACCGCTATGGTGAAGGGTAAGCGATCGTTGGGTTGTTAGGTTGAAGGCAGTCGGTGATGGGATGTAGTCCGACAGTTGCAGGTGGTTGTCAATATCAAAAACCATTGCTAGTGGGGGTCGTCGGGTGGTCTGGTCGCCGGTGATGTTGATCCTCGGAATGAATCAGGTAGTGACTGGTGCTGCTTCGGTTCCAGTCGACCATAATGGTCGAGGAACAGGTGCCAGAGTGGCAGCTAGCGCCCGGTGATGAAGCGGGGATACGAAGGTTGCGATTGGCATTAGAGTTCGTCACTGGGGATTGTGCCTAGGTCCCACTTGCCGGAGCCTGAAGTACCCGATGGTAACCGGTAGTGTAGTTCCGACTGGCATTGAAAGGTCGAGAAAGCAGGGTCGAAGATTCTTTCGGTTGCTACTTTTGTTTCCGACGGTCGACAGGTGGTCGACGGTAGTAGTGTTTGGTGACTATGTGGACCCACCTTTTGACTTTTCTGCCAGCTCCTTTGACTGAGTGGGGCCCATACGCCTCTGAAGGATAGCATCACGTGGAGGCCAGCTGTGGTTTTTTGGCTTCTGTCCTATAGTGTATACTGTATACACCATTTCCTCCCTTTTTTTCCTTTTTGGTCGGCTATGAAAGGACAACAAGCAAATACAGCTGTTGTATTTGCTTTTTTTTATATGATGTGAAAGGGAATCAGCATTGAATATATATACCATTGAATATACAACTTTTTTTTCTGAAGGTTTTGTAAAATGTACAAGCCATATGGCTGTATGTACAAATAATTATTACAGTGGGTAAGAATGTACATGGAAATGCACAGCTAGAGAAGAATTTCCAGATGTGTATGAACAAAAGATGGGTTAAAACTCATGGAAAACTTCTTTTCTTCTCTAACTTTCTGAAAAAGCCCCAAGATGTAAACAAAAACGGATCTGATGAGGTTTCTTCTCATAAACCCCTCCCCTTTTTTTTGTTTACAGCTTGTTCAACAAGCTATCAAAATTTGAACAACAAACAGATCTGAAAAATTATTGTTTCCTTTTCTAAGCTTTTGAAGATAAACACCAAACATATGAACAACGGGAAAGAATTCGATTTTTTTTTTTTGAAATGAACAACCATCCCAGATTTGTTTACAAGTAGATGTTGCAGGGAATAAAGTTATTCATAGAAAATCTTAACTAAAAAACGATTTTCTAATAATATGAACTTGAAAAAAGGATAAACTTATAAAAATTTCTTTTCTCCCCAACTTGCTAAATGGGTCACTGAAAAGAAAGACGAAACTGGTCTGAAATATCCTTGTAAACTCGAAAAATGCTTGAATGAACAAAAACTAATGTAGATCCAAAGATCTAGTCTTAAACGAAATAGATCCATAGATCTGAACAAAAACACTAAGCAGATCAGGAGATCTGAACGATAGAACACATCAGATCAAGAGATCTGAGGAGTGGATAATCAGATTTGGACAGATCTTGGTAAGCCCCAACGGATCTGAACAAAAGATGTTACATATGAACAGATCTGAGCAAACCTGAGCTGAAATGCAACAGATCTGAACAGATCTAGGCAAGAACGAGATGATAGCTGCTCGTTCGAGTCTGGGATGGCGCCAAATGATGCGACATCGACCTCCGGCAGATCTTCTGGTCTTCTGCTGCGGCGGAGATCTGACATCACAGTGCAAACCCGTTAGAACCGCCCCAGGGACTGTGCCCCGGGAGCGGGCTCCGACGGTCAAGTTAGATCAGCTAGAAGATCTTAGATGGTTCTCCATAGCTGGAGGGAACCATCTTGGTGCTAGTGGTGGTGTATGGCGGCGGGTGGCGGCTGAGCCACCCTGCCGGAGTATAGTGGCGGCTGAGCCAAGGGGAAGGATCCCCCTCCATGGAGGAGGTACTGTTCATTATATAGGGGACAATTAGGTCAGGCCTTGGGCCAGCCCAATTCAGGCCCAACTAGCAAGGAGCTGGGCAAGGCCGCCCGGAGGCGCCGGGCGGGGCTGGCGGGCGCGCCCCAGGCAGGGCTGGTGGGCGCGCACCAGGAGAGGATGGCAAGGGAGTGCCAGGCGAGGGAACGCCTGGCCGAGCCGGCAGGAGGGTTCCCAGCAGGGCTGGCAAGGGAGTCTCTAGCAAGGCTCGCAAGGGAACGCCAGGCAGGGCTGGCAGGAGCGCACCAGGCCAGGCTGGCGAGCTAGAGCAGTCTAGGCCATGCCAATGGACCATATATCATCACATAGCATCCTTCGTGCACTATATAAAGGGTTCTAAGCCCTAAGAATTTCAGCCATTGTTTTGAAGAATAAGAAGCCGAAATTTTGATCTCCTCTCTCATATCATTCTCTTGCGTTTGTGTGTTTGTGAGCCATTAGAGGTGTTACACATGTGACACTAAGTTCTCAAGCTTCAATATCTACAAGGGAATAATTGTTATTGATGCGACTTCGGCTCCGACCACCTGCTCTAAGAGTGTGCTTCCACGCCGAAGAGGATCTGTGAGGTCACAACAGACAAGGCCGTTAAAGCAGCCCCAGGGACTGTGCCCTGGGAGCAGGCTCTGACGATCAAGTTAGATCATCTGGTAGATCTGAGACGATTCTCTTTAGCTAGAGAGAACCATCTTGCTGCTGGTGTTGGGGGTAGTGTAGGGTGGTTGACGGCGGAGCGTGGCGGCTGAGCCACCCGGCCAAAATCTTGGGCAGCGGCTGAGCCGCTGGGGAGAGATCCTCGTTCATGGAGGAGATATTGTTCACTATGTAGGGGACAATTAGGTCAAGGGGAATTAGGCCAGGCCTTGGGCCAACCCAATTCAGGCCCAACTAGTAAGGATCTGGGCGAGGCCGCCCGAAGGCGCTGGGCAAGGCTGGCGGGCGTGCACCAGGAAAGGTTGGCAAGGGAGCACCAGGCCGGGACGGTGGGGAGAGTCCCCAGCAAGGCTGGCAAGGGAGCGCCAGGCAAGGCTGGCAAGGGAGTCCCCAGCAAGTTTGGCAAGGGAGCACCAAGCAAGACTGGCACGCTAGAGCTGTCTAGGCCATGCTAATGAACCATATATCATCAAGTCCCCCAGTCCGATGTTATTGGTACGTGGCCAATGACATTAGACTGGACTCAATCATATAAACCATGTGTCATCAAGTCCCCCTAGTCTGATGTGATTGGATTGCTGACAATCGGATCAGACTAGACAAAGCACCAATGCATCAAATAACAAGGAGAACGACCGAACCTCGCCCATGAGAGCCGTGGTGATGCGCAATGAGCCAATCATGGGCTGACTGAATGATCTTTCCTTGTTAGGAGTACGATCCGGTTGCTGAGATGCAACGTACTATTGATGTGATCATGTAGAGCGAGGTTGCTGATGATGTTTTGCAGAGCGGGGCTGGTATGCGACAATCATGTCGATAAGGCGTCGGGCCAAGGTAGCTAAGAGGCGTAAGCTCGCCATACAGTCTCTAAGTCTGTTATTCGACACGAATGTTGTTGTAGTCATGCACTGATGGAATGTCACCGATAACAATCTACATAGTCTACTTTGCATGAGCATTAATAACTGTCCAGAAGGTGTTTCTTGCTTGGGCTACACCTAGCTAAATTCCCCCAGTCTGATGTGGGTAGCGTAGGTAGTCGGATCAGACTATGGTGAATAAGGCAGGGTAGCTATAACAATACACGACAAAGTTGTTGGTTTAATAAAAAGTAGCAAGATTCTTGTATGAAATGGATGTTGTAAAATTGATAAGTCGTAAGGTTGTTGACCGTAATATAGGTGGCTGAGGTTCCGGGAGCTGGGCGATTAGGTTGCTAATAGGGGTTGCGCAGCGAGGCTATTGCCAAAAAATCCAGGCCATAGATACGCTGGGGGATAAGCGACGAGGCTATAGGTGGGGGTTGCGCAACAAGACCGTTGTCGAGAACCAGGCATCAGAGGTGCTGAGGGATACGCGGCGAGGCTGTGGGTACTCCTTTTCCTGGGGCTCCCTTTCCAGCCTTGTTGGGGACTCCCTTGTCTGGCGCTCCCTTGCTAGCCTTGTTGGGGACTCCCTTGCCTGGTGCTCCCTTTCCAGCCTTGCTGGGGACTCCCTTATCTGGCGCTCCTTTTCAGCCTTGTTGGGGACTCCCTTCCCAGCCTTGCATAGGACTCTCTGTCGGCCCGACCTAGCGCTCCCTTTCCAGCCTTTCATGATGCGCGCCCGCCAGCCTTACCCGGTGCGTGCCCGCCAGCCTCGCCCGGCGCCTCAGGGCAGTCTTGTCCAGCTCCTTGCTAGTTGGGCCTGAATTGGGCTGGCCCAAGGCCTGACCTAATTACCCTTGACCTAATTGTCCCGTATAAAGTGAACAGTATCTCCTCCATGAGGGGGGACTTCTCCCCTTGGCTCAGCCGCCACACTATACTATGGCTAGGTGGCTCAGCCGCCACCTGCCGCCATCAACCACCATACACCACCAGCAGCACCAAGATGGTTCTCTCCAGCTAAGGAGAACCATCTCAGATTTACCAGCTGGTCTAATTTGATCGTCGGAGTCTGCTCCTGGGGCACAGTCCATGTCGCGGCTCTAACGGCCTTGTCTGTTGTGGCCTCGCAGATCCTCTCCGGCATAGAAGCACGTCCTCAGAGCAGGTGGTCGAAGCCGAAGTCACGACATTTGGTGTCATCCCGGACTTGAACGAGCAGCCACCATCTCGCTTGGTTTCAAGCTCGTTCTTGCCTAGATCTATTCAGATCTGTTGCGTTCCAGCTCAGGTTTGCGTAGATCTGTTCATCCCTGCCATCATTTTTTCAAATCCGCTTGGCTCTAGCCAAGATCCATTCAGATCCGATTAGCTATCTTTCATATCTCTCGATCTAATGTGTTTTTTGTTCAGATCTATAAATCTACTTCGTTTTTAGCTCAGATCTATACATCTGAACGTTTTTTGTTTACTTAATCATCCCTCAAGTTTTAAAACACCAACTCATACCTGTTTTTACTTGTATTTTCGGGGAGAAAGGAGGTTCTTACGAGTTTTTCTCCATCTTTGTTCATATTTTGGTGTTTTATCCAAGCAACTTGAGAGTTGATGAACTTTTTGGTAAATATTTACTTTATTTTCAATTTATGTTATAAAGAACTCACCTTCAGTTTTTTATTTTCTTTGCAAGACTTCTTTAAAGCTCTCTATTTAGTGTTTTCTTCAAAAACTTAGAGAATGAAAACGAAAAATTTTCAGATATGTCTCTTGTTCATGTTTTGATGTCTTCTTGAGCAAGTTGAAGAGGAAAAAAGTTTTTTGAGAATAAAATCTCATCAAATTCCGTTTTTTATTTATATCTTGAGGGTTTTTTCTGTGAGTTTGAGAAGAACAGAAAATTTTTGTTGTCTACTTGGTGTTCTTTTTTAGAAGTTTAAAAAAAAGAGAAAGAAGTTTTTCCTGGGTTTCCACCACATTTTCGGTTCATATATTTTTCGAAAATTTATTTAGTTCATGATTCTCTATGTATAACTTTATTCAAGTTGTTT